GGCCTTCGAACTGCGTCGATACGCTTCGGACGGGTCTGGCTATGGGTGCTGATAGAGCGATCCTTGTTGAAGCTTCTCGGGATTTGGTTCCTCTAACAGTTGCAAAGCTTTTGAAGAAGCTTGTTGAGGTTGAGAATCCTGGGTTGCTCATTCTTGGAAAGCAGGTTTGGTTTTCATATTAGATCTCATTGATCTTTAAGGCTGTTTTTGGTTAAAGATTCTTAAATGTTTGATTTTGGAGTAATTTAATGGTGTTGGTTGCTTGATATCGTTTTATAGTTGGGGGAAAACTTGTCTTCCCCTTAGTTTTCATTGCATTTAAGGATGTTTTTGCTTAAAAATTCTGAAATGCCTGGTTTTGTGTGTAGTTCAAAGGTAGTGACTACTTGGGATTGTTCTATATTTGGCTGAAAGTTTGTTTTTCCCATGGTTCTTGTTTTTAATGATGCTTTTTGCTTATAGATTCTGAAATGTTTTGTTTTGTGCGTACTTTAAAGGTCATGTTACTCGGATTCAAGTGTGAGAATTAGATATTTATGTATCCGGTATGAGTATGTTTTTTTTTTTCCGTAAGTTTTTCCATGGAGGATCCTTGGAGAGTGTATCCTCGTACCCATGTCCAAAAATGTGTCAAACTCAAGTGCCAGACACTAGCAGGAAAAGAAAAATAAAGAGTTTGTGCAATGTAATATGAAGGTTTTGGTTACTTTGGATTGTCTTATAATTGGGGAAAAGTTTTGCTCTTCTAAGTGTTCTGATTTATTGTTTATACAACACTGTAGTTGTCCATTTTGTATTAGAAATGAGCTGCAAGATAGTGATGACTGATTTTGTGAACACAGTTATTTTTAATCTTTAATGGAAGTTAGAGATTCTGGAATGCTATTGTAGATTCAGAGGATGTAGGGCTGGCTATATTAGTCGAACTTGAGTGTGCATGTCTAATACTAGTATATGTGAAATAGGGATTTGTTTAATATTTAAAGGTTTTTCATGTATTTGGAGGGTCATATCCACCCGTTTCCAAAAATGGAACGGACACATACTTTAGGAAAAAGGAAAAAGGAAAATGAAGTGTCGGAGTAACATAGGTTTAGGGTGTATGAACTATGAACCATTTGTTGAAGTACAAGGATTATGTTGCTTAGACTTTTTATTTTTCCTGAAGTACTTATCCATCTCCTACATTGACACTCGAGTATGAGTAACATAGATTTAGATGGTTCTTTTCCTATTTCAAATGATGGATCCAGATCACAAGTGCAGGAACTGATTAAGGATTAAATTATTTTCACTGAATTCACGAAAAAACAATGCATTTACATTTTTTAAATAAAAAAACCTATGGTTAACATATCCTTCAAATGAGAGAATATGGAGTAAACTGAATACAAATGATGTTTCCTGTTTTAAAATATTGCCCTTTTTCCTCCTGATAAGTCTGGTCATAAGCTCAGTTAAGTTGAAGTATTCAAAATGGTCTTTTCTGATTGGAGCTGTTCTCTGGAAAAGATTCCGAATTACATCTTATGATCATCACATTTAGCTATTTGACTTTTTTCAAAGTCTTCTTACTTGAAAAGAGGCAGGTTTAGGTTTCTATAATTCTATTTCATTGACAAGAGAGTTTGATGGGGAAGTTTTTCTCCACGTTTGAGCCTTCAATGAATATGGTGCTGTTAAATTTACCTGATTTTCAGCATTTTTTCTTCCATTGTATTTTTATTGTTTTCAAGTGTATCTGGCTTCATCCTTCTTTTTCTACTACCTCTTTGGTGGAACTTATAAAATCACCGATTCTTATTATCCTGATTCTGTGTAGGCAATTGATGATGACTGTAATCAGACAGGGCAAATGATAGCCGGGCTGCTTGGATGGCCTCAAGGAACATTTGCTTCAAAGGTCAGTCAACAGTCAACTTATTTGGGAACTACTCTTCTATTGCTTCAATGCTTCTTATCTGTTCTTTTGGTTCATAACATTTGTCTTCATAGCCCATATAAAGCTTTAACATAACTAGTAGTCTTGTTCTTGGATGAAAAACTATATTTTGTTTAATTAGAAGGTAAAACCCATGTCTGATTCTTCATTTTTTTCTTGAAGCACCTATGTCTAACACATATCCGAATATCGAAAATATAATCATCCAAGTACAAGGAAAAACTTGGGGAAAAAATAATATTACCTATGTTGGACATACATCCATATCCAATGCTCACACTTGAGTCCAAGTAACATAAGCTAGAGTTGACCAAATGTCAAAGGAGGAAGTTTTGAGATTGATTGTTAGTTGTATTAGATTTCAAGGTGAAAGTGCTGTAGAATTTTAGCATGTACATAAAATAAAGTATCGATTAAATTTGGGATGATATCCAAGCAAGTAACTCTCATTTTGCTGCAGTTTGTGTTTTTTACCTTTTGTATCTATGTTAATTGGGCTCAGGTGTGGTTGTCAGACACATTATGTTCAATTTTTTCCAAGATTTCCAGGTATTTGGAGGTGACCTTGGAGGATCATATTTCCGTATTCACTTCCAAGTACGAGACAAATATGGGTTATTTAAAATAAATGAATGTATAAAGAGTTGGAGCAACATAGGTATCAAATATCTATGGTAGCATGTCCATTGTGTCTGTCATCTTGACTGCTGAATCTTAGTAGGTTGTGTTGGACAAGGAGAAACAGGCGGTATCCGTTGATAGAGAGGTGGATGGTGGTCTTGAAACACTCTGTTTAGGCTTACCTGTTGTGATCACGTAAGTTCCTAATCTGATCAACTTTTTGTGTTCATTATAAGTTATCACTAATCTCTAGTTTGATTGAACACGAACAATTGCTTTGGATACTCTATTCGACAGTAGATAATAGTCAGTCTTCCGCAATTTTCATTTCAAGTTGTGAATATGCAGCACTGATTTAAGATTGAACCAGCCAAGGTATGCAACTCTTCCCAACATAATGAAGGCCAAATCAAAGCCGATAAAGAAGTATACTCCTGAAGAGTTGAATGTCGAAATCAAATCAGATTTAGAGGTTGTTCAAGTCACTGAACCGCCCAAGAGGAACGCCGGAGTGATCCTCTCGTCTGTTGATGAACTGATCGACAAGCTTAATAATGAAGCTCATGTAATTTGAACATTTCCTCACCTCTGGTAAATGGTGTAAAGCTGATAAAAGCTTTTCCAAGTAAATGATCTTCAGAAGTTTACAGAAATGGAAGTCTAAACTTCCTGTTGAATAAACTCTACCTTTTATGGAGTTCAGCAAAAACCGAGCAAAATAGAAACTGATTTGAACCGTAGTGTTTAATTTGCTTTGGTTTTTTCTCTAAAAAATTGGGTAAACTACATGTTAGCATTAACATTAAATTTTTAACGATCGGTGACTAAAATGAAATCAAACTAAAGGTAAAATATAGTTTTAAAAAATAATTAAATTATCAAAATAAAAAAAATAGTAATTGGGGGTATTAAACTTGCAGTTTACCCCAAATAAATGGATCCATTTAGTATGAATCTATGACCAAGGGTCTAGAAAATGACTGAAAATTAATTTGATCAATCGAAAATAACTTATAAGTTAATGAAAAATAAAACTATTTTCTTATAAATTGTCTCACGAAATTTAAAATCATAAAAAAACATTTTATAAGTAAATAAAATATTTAGATCGAAATACAATTTAAAAATATAATTTAAATCAATTTAGATGTACTATGATTATAGCAAGTTTAATTTTATTTTTTTTTAAATATTAAGTAATATATATAATATAATTTTCAATATTATTAAATATACTTAACTATATTATAATAATGCATAATAGTATATTTTTTATTAATAATAATGTATAAACAAGAAATATTCTCAGACTTAACTCAAACTCAATTTCAAACATAAACTTTAAATACATAAAAGTTTTATATTGTATTTTTTAAAAAAAAGATAATAACGTATAAATATTAATATTATTAATAATATAATTTAAAAATTCTAAAAATTTAATATATTATTTTTTCGAGTTATGCACGAGCTTTTCGAGTCTGGTATCAAGTATTTCATTTCGGCTCATTGAGAATTCGAGTTGAATTCGAACTCGAGTCAAGTTCATTTGATTCGAAAGTTGATCAAAATTTCAACCGAATCGATCTCGATTAACTCGTAAATTGTTTATCTCGTTTACAGCTAAAATTCTGCTGTCTTGCAAGTATAATGGTCCTTTCTTTGCGATGAAAGAATGGTTTGATAAAAAAAATTACAATATATACATATAAGATATTTAAACTTTTAAGCTGCGAGAAGTTGGAAAGGGAAACTAGAAAAAAGAAATGCAGGATACAAAGCATAAAGACGTATATGTAGTTAAATTGAATAATTTCGGCTGCAAACTATCCTAATAAGAGGGTGTTTGGTTCAGAGTATATTAATAATATTATCAGGAATAGAATGTCATTCATTCGTTTAGTTAGTAAACATTTCCAACTCCTGATAATAAGTTATTTCTAAGAGTGGTATTTTGGAGGTATATTATCGAGAATATGATTACCCATTCCCTTAGGTATTATTACATTCCTGACGTATTAGATTGAAATGCCCTTACCTTTTTTTTCAAAAATATTCATCTTCTGCGTTGAATAAAAAAATTTACGAATGTTAAATTACAAATTTATCCTTAAATTATTTTAGATTTTAAAAACAATAATAATTAAAATTTTATATGAAGTTCAAAGGTTAAAAATAAAATTTTACAATTTCATTAAACATATTTATCTTTTCAATTTTATAAAAAAAAATATAAATTTTATGAATTTAAATTTTTTAAATAAAATATATAAATTAATTATTGTAGAATTTAACTTGTTAAAAAAATAAATATATAATAAAGATAATTTAGTAAAATATAGATTTCAATAATCTTTTATTCCTTTAATTAAACATTATAATTTTACATTCCTGCTAAACGAACAAAATTCAAAATACAACATACGAAATAATCTTATTCCCGTCAGTAAAACGCACCTTAAATGTATTTCCTTGTAATCTAGAATCACCATGACATCACCAATCCATCGTTTAAAGTTACATGAAAATGGCAAAACCCAGAAAAGGAAAACAGAACTTCAAATAACAACAAAGCATTCAGGAAACAGATTCCTTTGTTCAAACCGTTTTTGTTTTTGGGGTCTTTTTCTTGAGTTGTCTCCTGGGGATTGAGTTCTTCATGTCAATGAAGAACAACAATGCCCCTAACAGCGCCAAGTTCTAACAACAAAACCAAATTTCATTTACAAACAATTAAAGGAAATTTTATCCAAATTATGGAAATATAAATACACCAACCTGCGAGAACTTTGCGAAAAGTAGACCAAATTCCTCCTTTTCCGTGTCGTAGTTGTAGAAGTCATACAATACGGGAGTGAGAATCACCTGGTGCAAAACCTACACATGAACAGTGTCGTTGGCAATTGGACCTCCAAAATTAATATAAAGTATCTGTATATGAAAAAAAAATAGTGCGGATTCCAATATTATATGGATATTCAATTTAGCATCTGAGGAAAATTTAGCATAAAAACTTACCAGGAGATAAGCTCCGATAGTGCTGCCAAAGGTAAACAGTATACCACCAACACCTTTAAATGCTATAGCAGCAGCAACTGCATACTTTATCTGTAAATAACATCCCAAAGAGTCACGCCGTTTGAAAAATTGTATATACTCGGAAAATAATGAGTTAATTGCATCATACGTCTTCAAATCATGACATATTTTTAAATTAGTCCCTAAATTTTTAAATATTTATTTTTATTTCTAAACTATTACTATCATTCTAAATTAGTCATCAAACTTTTAAGCATTTTATTTTCATTCCCAAACTAAATCCTTCATTCTACATTGGTCCCCAAAATTTTTCAACATTTCAATTTCATCTCAAACTATATGTATATACTAATCACATCCCATATTAATAAAATTGTTAGGTCAAACTATATTATTATACGTTTGAAAGAAAAAAAATTAAATTAAACTATGGTTGAAACTAAAAACATATTCGGATCAATGTGGGTATAAAATTGGAAGATATAAAAGTTTGGAGGTTAATTTAGAATGAGGGTCATAGTTTGAGGATAAAATTGAAATGTTCAAAAGTTTAAGAACTAATTTAGAATAAGAATGATAGTTTGAGAATGAAATTAAAATATTCAAAAGATTAAGGACTAATTTAGAATAGAGATCATAGTTTAGAAACACATGATATAATTAACTCAAAAATAATCAAGGTTTATTTTAAAGGTGATAACGCATCAAATTTTGAGCAGAGTTGCAATGAATGTTCACTAACAAAATTTTTAAAATAACAAAGATATCTGAGGATAGATCGAGGAGAGTAGGTCGGGCAATCGATCGCTTGACAATTTTTAAATTATCATATAATTTAGATATTTTTATATTTTCTATTGATAATCTATTTCTTTCTCTCTGAAATTTTATAAATTCATTCCTTAAAACTTTATACATTCGTCATCTCACATGAAATTTTACATCCATCCATAAAGATATCCAAATCAATTCAAACTAATATTTTTTTTTCTAACTTGTCTTAGAGCCGAAATATAGCAATTCTTACATCGAATTCCGGCACTTGAAACCCTGCGTGAGATGACACAGTCTTTGAGAAGACGTCGAGTTTTGGTCTTAGCTCCTTCGCCGCTTTCCCTCCATCAACGCCGAATTCATTGAATCTACATCGAATGAACACATTTATCATAACGATTGGGGGGAAATGTTATTTTTAAGATATATCTTAACCATTAAATCTTTCCGTATTTAAAAAACAACTGGGCATTTTTAATATAACCAAAAATCAATAAACATGCTCTACTTGTAAAAAAAAAAGTGAGTAGAATATCGCATTTCAAATAAAAAAAGTGTAGAAATAGGTATATTTGCTAATTCTTCCAAATGTAAAAATCAAAATTCAATAAACATGATCTACTCTTAAATTGCACTAATTTTTCAAACAAGAACTATTCATTAATTAAAGTAAAAATCAACTTCAAACAGTTCAGAAAATATTGGTTAAGATCTAAACTCAAGAGAACCAAACCCTAAAATAAGTTTGCAGATCTGAAATGAGACTTACTCTTGCCAAGCAGAGAGGATGAACACTGAAGCGAAAAGTACTCTCCCGATGAAAGAAACCAACGCCATTTTCCGATTGAAAATCCTTTAAAAAATCAAAGAAAAAACGTTTTCGAAAACGAGAAGAAATTGCTGTTCGAAAGCGATACAATATAGTGAAGACAAATCAGAAGCCGGAGATTTTTTATAGAGAGGAGAGGAAGATCATGCGAAGTGAAGACGTACTCGCGCGAGTATGGTAGTGTTGAAAAACTCGCGGAGAATACATTGAGAAACACGTCGATCTAACCAATCAGACAAGAAAGGAGTGAGGTGGACGCAAGTGGAGAGCGAGTTGAGGTCCCTTGTCACGGAAATATCCTTTGGAGTTTGCTTTAATTTACGATCGTTGCCATCACAAGATCCGTGTTTTTAATTTAAAAAAAAAATTGCCGGTCTTTTGGTCCAACCATTTGAAATTTGAATGCCGAGTGTGGTTTGGTAATGTTCAAAAAGTTGCCTTCAAAAGCAAAAGGAAATTTACCAAACTTACAATTTTATCACTAAAGTATACTTAAAATAGATTTATAATTTTTGAACAATTAATTAGTCATTATGAAGTATTAACTTTTTTTTAAATAATGTCAAGTATTTGAATCATATAAGAACATAAAATTTTATGTTAGAGTGAATTTATAAATGAACAAAAATATATTATTGATAAAAAATATATAAAGAAAATATATTAATTATATAAGAATTTAAAATTTTCATTGTCTCTATCAACTCTTCTCGATCTATCCCTGATTTAAATTATGTTATTATAAATGAAAAAAAATTAGATTAAAAAATCACGTATATATCAAACATTTGTAATAAGAGATCAGGATTTGTAATATAGACTTTTACGTTTTTATGTTTTTAACACAAATATGTATCATCTTACACATTCAGTAAATGTTCAAAACCCAACTCATTAAATGATTTCAGTGACAAAAGGGAATGTTGTTCTTTCTGGAGGTCTTAAGTTTAAGTAGTTGTATATGCATGATGTGTGAAGTCAGATATGTCTCAAAAGATTGACAGACCTTGTGTTACTTTTTAAAATAATACATCTAAAATATTTTTTAAAAAATATTAATTTGTTAAATTTAAAATTATGAGGAATCGCATCACAGAACTTCTTTCGGATAACAGTGGATAACTTCCATTGCGTTGCAGATATAGTTTCCACTAGAGTATACAAGTTCCGTCATAAAAATGTAAAGTATATCATATGTTATCAAAGTAGGTTTAAACAATAGTTTTAATCATTCATATTTCAAAAATTATAAAAGAATAGTTAAATTTATTAAATTATAATAAAATTATATTGAAATATTACAATGATCGTTAAATCTATCAAATGTTTACACTTATTTTATAATGATAACTTTAGTGATCATATTATAACTTTTGAAAGTAAAGTAACCAAACGGATCATTTGAGCATAGTTTGCCGATCTCTCTGATGCAGTTTATCTAAAAAAATATCTAATGATACAAATTTTGGGTAAACTACATCTGTGAGGAGGGATTCCAATTTGACCATTAATATTTTAATTTTGTCAATTAAATCACTTAATTATTTAAATGATGCCAATTAATTTTTTATCTTTAACATTTAGGTTGTGTTTGTTTTTGAAGAGGTAAAAGGTCTGCCGTCTGCGGACCACATCTGCAGCAGAAGAGGTGGACCAAAAGTGTACAGTCTACAAGAAGAAGACTATTTGTTTTTTAACGTCTGCATACTACTAAAATAAACTGAAATATAAAATAAACTGATTTTTTAAACTTAAAAGAGTTTTGCAATACTGAAATTTAAATAATTTTAGTTTTATAATACTGAAATTTAAATAATTCATACAACTACAATAATAATTTTTTTAAAGTAAATCAATTCATATTTTAAAATAAATCAATCCATATTTTAAAATAAATCAATGCTTATTTTAAAATAAAATTTTTCATATTTTAAAATAAATCAATCCATATTTTAAAATAAATTTTTTCTATATTTTAAAATAAATCAATTCATATTTTAAAATAAATCAATCTATATTTTAAAATAAATTTTAAAATAGATTTAAATGATTTTAATTTTCCCGCAGACTTTTGAAGACCTTTGAAAACATAAAATCATGTCTACACCAAGAAGAGCTCGTGCAGACGTTTGAAGAGCTTCTGTCTTCTAAAAAACAAACGGTCTGCGAAGCCCAATGTATGCGTGTGGTCTGCGCGGCACAGACATAAGAGCTTTGCAGACTTTACACAGTAAAAACAAACACCACCTTAATGAAAGAGTTGAAGTGAGAATTAAAAAATTAATAAAAATATATAAAATATTTTCAGGTAAAGAGTTGAAGGGTGTGCTTAATCCTCCCGGAAGTTCTATGTTTCAATTCTCCTTAATACTATTCTTCTTCAACTTATTAAAACATAATAATATTTAAATAAGAATCTCATCATAATTAAGTGATTATGAAAATAATATTCAAATTGAATATGGATTTGGGTGATTTTATAAATCTAAGGTAATATCTTCCCTCAGATAACGATATTAGTTAGAGATTTGAAAGTTTATTAATAATCATAATAATAAATCAACACTAGTTGGACAATTGCTTACACGTTCTTATTTATGCTCAATATTCAAGTGTGCTCAGGAACGGCTGACTTTAATTATTAATTTAAAAAAAAATAGTTTAATCTTCAATTGTAATAGAATATTTAACTCCCATCTGACCTGAAATAATATTATAGTTCCTTTTTATATATTTAAAGATAATACTAATATATATATATATTTAATAATCTTTTTATTTTAACTAATAAAAAATATTTATATAAAAATTACTTTAACAACATCCAAAACATTTATTAAAACAACTTTGCAACTCAACAAAAATTTTAACTATCAACATTTGGATCAAAACGACTTTAACTACAAATAATAATCATTAAAATTATTAGACAAAAATTATCATAAAAAATAAAATAATTTAACACAAAAGTTTATACTGAAATTAAGATAAAACTTACTTATTAATACTCCGAAAGCTTCAAATCCTGCTGTTTTTTTAACCAATTGCTTCAAATTTGGTTGTTTCTTCAACCAAATCCCTCAACTCTCACTGTTTTTTTCAACCAAGATGATACTACTTTTTTTCTCTACCCGTTGGGGTTAAAAACTGAGTACACGAGTATGATTAAATCGATATAATGTAGAAGTTCCGAGGATTAAATATAAAATTATATTAATTTTATTAACTTATATTAATTTTTCTATTATTTATTAACTATAAATTACTTGATTGATATAATTTACAAAACATCAAAATTAAGGATTTTATTCATAGATTGTAGGACGAGAAATTTGTCATACCTGATTTCTATAATTAAAAAACTCTTCCAATGGAAAACCATTACCACAAATCAAAGGAAAGTAATCTAACTCTCGTTCAACATTAGAATCAAAGAGCCTCAAAATCCTTTTATAATAGAGGTATAAATAAATAAAGCGTTCGACGAATTATTCGTCTTTCGTATAATATTTATTTATTAAACTAAATAAATATGTACATAATGTTTATGTTCATTTAATAAACGAATAAACACAAATAAAAATATATTTGATTTATTTATTTTCTCAAAAATAGATGTGTTTATAAGCTAGTTTACTCAGTTTTTTTAAACATTTTAAATATTAGTGAAGATAAATACTAACTTTAACATAAGGTGAACTTTGGAGTCATACTGTGAAACATTGGGAGCTTAAAGACTAATTCTAATTTCATCATTTTTCTTTAACTTGCAAATAAAAGAGTAAAAAGTGAGCATGTTCATGAATATTAAATGAACATGTTCGCAAATACTAAATGAACATGTTCGTAAACACTAAACATATAAACATGAACACTTTAAAAATTAAATAAACGAACACAAATAAGATATTAAAAATTTAAAGAACGCGTAATAAACATGAACATATTCAAAAATAAATATACGAACATAAAAATAATTTTGTTCATTCAAATTCTATTCATCTACACTCCTAACCGCAACCAATCGAAAATAATACTAAGGAAAAAATCGGAAAAAAGCACCAAAATCCAGCAATACTGATAAACTCACTATTATGCGTCGAGAAAATTCTGGATTTTAGTGGGTGGTGAAAGTAAAAATTATGCTAATATTTTTTCTTACTTTTATTAACATAATTATTATTATAATATATAAAAATGTAAATTCGAATATATTTAAGTATATAATATATTTCAATTTAAAGGTTTGAAAAAAAATAATTTATAAATATTATATCAAAAAATTAATAATAAAATTAAATATTTGAATCTCAATTAATAATTTAATTAACATGTTAAATTTTTTTAACTTTTTATTGATTAAATTCATATGTTGAACTGTTATGTATGGCTCATAAAAAGTCTCGTTGTGGGGTTACGAATTATGTGGGTTAGGGGTGTGGGGGCGCAGCCCCCGCGGTACGGTACAGGGTTGATTTTGTAATTATGTACCAGGGTTTTCTATTATAAATAGAGATGTAACCTAGACCTAAAATATCATTGAATAAAACTTCTAGCGCCGCCTAGGCACCGAGGACGTAAGCACATTGCCGAACCTCATAAAATTCTCGTGTTCTTTCGTTTTCTTTACCCGTTTTCGTCAACAATTGGTATCAGATGTCAGGAGCAAAATTCGAAGTCGCGAAATTCGATGGTCAGGGTAACTTCGGATTATGGCAAACGAGGGTGAAGGATCTATTGGCGCAGCAAGGGATCTTGAAGGCTTTGCGACCTACAAAGCCGGCGTCGATGGATGAGGAAGATTGGGAAGAATTGCAGCAACGAGCGGCAGGAACCATACGATTATGCTTGGCGGACGAGGTCATGTATCACGTCATGCATCTATCGTCTCCAGACGAAATTTGGAGGAAGTTGGAAAGTCAGTTTATGTCCAAATCCTTAACGACAAAACTGTATCTGAAGCAGCGGCTGTATGGGCTGAAGATGCAGGACGATCACGATTTGGCGCAACACGTGAATGTCTTCAATCAAATCGTTTCTGATCTGGCTCGGCTTGATGTGAAAATTGAGGATGAAGACAGAGCGATGATTCTGTTGTGTTCGTTGCCTTCCTCTTACGAACACATGGTGACTACTCTTACATATGGGAAAGAGACTATCAACGTTGAGGAGATTACTGCAGCCTTGTTGGCTCACAACCAGCGGAAGCAGAATGCAGGGGAAAGCTCTCAAGCCGATAGC